GGCAAGCAGGCATTCCCGGACACCCTTGGTGAGCCAGGGGGGCTTTTGGACACTCCTGCCCGCCTTGCTTCTTGTCGGGATGGACACCCCTTGGGCCCCGAGTATCGTTTCCTTAAGGAACGACCACTCCTCTTGGACGCTGAGTTCCTCTGCCCTCAAGGACCCCAGTTCCTCTCCCACTAATCTCCTCATCTCACTGAAGTTGGCCCTCCTGAAGTCTAGGGCCACCACCTTGCTGCGGGCCCTTGACACTCTACGCTGGATGGTGAATTCCAGCACGCGATGATCACTATTGCCCAGGTGGTCAAGAACCTGGAGGCCTCTTACCAGGTCGTCGCCTGCGGCCAGGACCAGGTCCAGCAGAGCATCTCCTCTGGTGGGACTGTGCACCTCCTGAATCAAGTGGAGGTCCTGCAACTCGGCCAAGAACCTCCTGGAGCGGTCCGTCCCGGCTGACTGCTCCTCCCAGCAGATGTCCGGGTAATTAAAATCGCCCATGACAACTACATCCCTTGCTTTTAGTGTCTCCGCAAGCTGGCCTGAAAATTCCCTGTCCAGCTCCTCCTCCTGATTGGGGGGTCTGTAATAGACCCCCACCGTCAAATCCCTCTCGCCTTGCCCCCCCTGGATCTTGACCCAGAGCACTTCAGCTCGCCCTTCCCCTGACCCCATACTGCTGGCAGAGGATGTGTAGTGCTCCTTGACATAAAGTCCCACCCCCCCCCCTGATACCCACAGGCATGCCAGAATAAGGAACATGGCTTTAAGTGAAGAGGTAATGTACAGGAAGAAAAAGTAACTATAGTATACTACATACAAGTAACTTTTTATATGTGGTTACATGTAGTTACCTGAAAGTCTGACCAAACTTATAGAAGTGATGCCACCAAATTTAATATTCACTTGTGCAAATACCTACAATGCAAATATCCAAATGACAAAACCAGCATGCACATGCTGATTAGGTTCTCAGAGCATATACTTGAGTTTATACCATTCTAGGCCCTTGGTGCTACTCAGGGAGAGCTTTAATGATACCTGTAGCAGTGCTAAGCACACACGGTAACAGAGAAGAGGCATAAACTTAGCTTGCTAGGCATCTTTTCACTAATCACTAGTTTAGGTTGATTACAAGTCTGCGCGAGATACACAGTGAGTCAACAGCCACTATAGCTCCATTCTTATACTAGTTTTGGGTTACAGAAGGACTTTACCAAGTGTCAAAACCAGCAGCATAGGGACCTAGCCAGGTGCCCGGTACACAGGGGCAGCAGTGACTTCCAGTTGCTGCTGCAGTTTACAATTGCAATCACATAGCTGTCAACAACCACTTTTTTTGCTTGTCCTTCCCCTGTCCCACCCATCCCACCCCAAGTCAGCGCCCAGGCTGGTTGCCATGTTTGCTCTGCCCGACTTATGCCACTGCCCAAAACCACAGTCTTGCTGATCGATTACACTGATGCTGTGAAGGTGCAGAAAACTGCCCTTTGGAGGCTGGTACCAACCCATCTTGACCTCATCAAGAAAGATGTCCTGAGTGTCCTCAGTCTGTTCTTATCCTTATGGGATGGTGTCCAATACTGCTTAATTCAGTAGTTCAGCTCTTTTCTGAACTTAGGGGACTTTCAGACACTAAGCCCTTCCTACCATCTTAAGTAAGCCTAAGCCTCTAGCTCAGCTAACACATGGGTCTAGCCAAGCTTTGCTTAGTACAACTCCCAGTCCCAGGGACATACTGGAGTTCACTTGTCTCCGCCCACCCCTTTTCTTGCCACTAATCCAAAGAAACAGAGGTGTCTCAGGGCTCCTCCAACTTGTACTGAATGCTACCAGTCCTCAAAGAAATCTGCTAACAGTAGAGAGCTGAAATACAGGAATGCTCTGGATGTACCCACTGCTCCTTCAGTCAACCCCTGTAAGGGGGCCATGTTGGGGCCTGGAGTGCAGCCCATTATGACTTACCTGCCAGATTCTATTGATTTGGAAGAAATAAAGGAAAATATTCTTAAAGTCTTGTAAATGCGAATCTGTTTCCATTTAGACTGCATTCTTCTGAAAGAAATCTGTACCTCCCCCACTTCCCTATAAGTAATGACAGAGAAAAAAGGAAACATTAATCAAACAGATTGAAATGACCTGGATAAGGGCCTCACCGGAAGGATCTAAAATGCTTCTGTGGTCACAAGAACAATTTTCATTCCATGTTTCTGGACTGCATAACATATTACTGAAATCACTAGACATTGGGAATGTAAGATCTCTTAATGGAAATATTATAGACTTGCAATTTGCTTAGGGCAGCAGTTTCTTTTAAAAAAACAACCTCTTACTAGTCTAAGAAAATCAAAAACTTATGTTTGGTCTTTATATAAAAAGTTCAGCCATTAACAGAGAGAATCCAGTAAACTGCATGCAGTGTAACAGTAGTAATCTGAGGTTAGTCCTACTTTTTAATATGGTTAGAAGTAAGCACATACCGGCCTGGTCCTGAGGAGATACCATAACAGACTTTCCAGCACAAATATTCACTTGCAGTTTGAAGCACTTTGAGCAATGTCGTAAATATGAAGCAGGTGCTAAAACTGGCTTAATTTTCAACTTGGATCCACCCACAGGTTTGGATTCTGCCCTTTTTTCCTCTTGTGCGACCCCACAGATATCCATGGGATTTCACAAGGTCCAGAACAATACAGAATTTGGCCTCGTGGAGTGTCTTTTGTTTTTGAGACCATTAGACATAGTTTGGCTGGGCTGTTGTGTTCCTCTTCTAACCCACTCACTGCTAATAGAGGCAGCAGCAGAGTGTTTCTTCCTCTACTCTTTCTTCCTTTACTTCCTTTACTCTAGACCACACCATAGATTTTAAAGCAGAAGGCTGAGGCCATGCCTATTTTTGATGCTAGGATGTAGGAGTGTATAGCACACCTTTTGTATCTTTCGACTTCTTTGGCACATATTGAAGTTAATCAACTGCAAGGCACCATTGGCTTCCGTGGAAGTTAAGTCAGTCCCCAAGCATATATTTTAAGCACTGTTGCATGTGAAGTTTGTGAAACAAAACTAGATAAATTCACCCAGTGGACCTCTACACATGGTTGATGTGCCCAGATAAAGTGCATAGGAATAAGTCCCTTTTATTAATCCCCCTTTTTATCCTGTGGCATTGCAGCACCTATGTGTTGATAATACATACAAACTAAATCAGTGTTGCTGTGAAACACACACATTAAGGACACAGCTTCCAAAAGTGACTTGTGATTTGGGTGAAAATGACCTTAGGAGAGACTGATTTTCAAGATGATCTGAGGATCTGCCTTCTAAAAATCAGCATCTTCAAATGAGTCTCAGTTTGGGCATGTGGAACTGAGACTATGGACAGAATGCTTCCCAGCCCCTTGCACAGCTCTGGGGTGACCCCAGTCTTCACAAGGAGCTGGGGGACATTTCCTAGGGCTGGA